AATCTGGTCACCCTTAATCCCACAAGGTCTTATCAAAACAGGCATCCAGGCCAGACATGGTGGCTCACACCTGTAATCCTAGCGCTCTGGGAAGCTGAGGCGGGAGGATTGCTTGAGGCCAGGAGTTTGAGACCAGCCTAAGCAGGAGCGAGACCGCATCTGTACTAGAAAAAATATAGAAAAATTGGCTGGTCATCATGGCATGTACCTGTAGTCCCAGCTCCTCAGGTGGCTGAGGCAGGAGGATCACTTGAGCCCAGGAGTTTGAGGCTGCTGTGAGCTATGATGACATCATTGCACTCTACCCAGAGCAACAGAGCGAGACCATGTCTCAAAAAAAAAAAGAAAAAAAGTAGGCGTCCAGATTTGCCAGGATTGGCAAAGTCCCTTAGGGCACAAGTGGCTTCTGTGTTTCCTTACCTTCCCGAGTTCCTGCTTTGCCCTTGCCATATCTATTGCCTTAGTTGGTTTTAAGAAGATGACTTTTTATCCTGTGTCCAGCATCTTTTGCTGTCAACATGCGGTGCTGTCGTTACTGGAAATCCAAAGCCTTGGCCTTCATTCTTAGTCCTTGGGTGCTCAGTGTGCTCCGTGGGGTGGGGACACAACCGTGGAGGCAGGACATAAGAGGGAAGTGGGGTGGATGGAAACCCACAGCAAACTAGTTAGAGGACAAAGCATTGCTGGAAGGATGTGGAGGTGTGGTCCTAGCTACCCACAAGGCTGGAAGCTAGGAAATGGATGGCCATCGAGAACCAAGGCAGCCCCCTCTCTGAGGCCATGCTGTTGATCTTTGTCTGTCTGGGCATCTGCTGCATTCTTCCTTTCCTCCCCCTGCTAACTGGCTCACTCCGATTTCTCATACCAAGTAGTTCAGTAGTTCATCCAGTGAATATTCGCTGAGCACCTGCTGTGTGCCTGGCATACTCCAACTGCTAGCAATACAGCTTTGGACAAGACAGAAAAAGCCCCTGCCTGCAGAGGGAGGAGCAAGCCAGACAGAGGGAACAGGTGCAAAGGCCCTGAGGTGGCTTCCAGCTGCCCTCTAGAGATCAGGGCTCTTCTGATCATGTGTGACAAACATCCAACTTGAATCTACTTCTTCAACAGTGGAAGCATCAGGCCTAGTGGGACCCAGGGCTTTCTAGAAGGTAGAAGTCCTCCCTCTACCTCTGGCCTTTGTCTTCCCTACCTGTGCCAGCATGACTACAGGCAACCAGGCCTTCTCCTCCATGTTCAGCAGCCCCAGTGAATAGAGAGCATCACTTTCCCATAAGCCTCAGCACAAATCCCAGGGCAGGCTCCTATTGGCTCATTTCAGGTCACATGTCTATCCATGAACCAATCTCTTGGAGCTGAGGATTATAGTACAGGTTTTGATTGGCTAGAACTGGGTCACATGTCCATCCCTGGAGGCAGGAGATGGGATCCGTGCTGCCAGGTCTCAAGGCCTGAGTGTAGGCCATAAATAGGTGGGGAGTTAGTGCCCTCCTTCCCCATGTCCTGCCTTCTGCTGTGCTCTGCCCTCTTGGGTTTTGCAGCCAGGTACAACACAGGGTCAGCCAACTTGGACTTTCAAAGGTAGTGTGAGTTCCAAGGCCAGACTCTTGAGGAGTGAGAGAGACATGAGATGCAACCCAGGACTTGAAAGGAAGCTGGAAGTCCCTTGCTCTGTTTCTTCTTGGTTTCCATCTGATTTAGAAGAAATCCAAGCCAAATGTGGTGGTGTGTGTCTGTAGTCCCAGCTACTTGGGAGGCTTGCTTGAACCCAGGAGTTTGAGGCCAGCCTGGACAGCATAGCAAGACCCTGTCTCAAACAAAATCCATATTCTTTATTTTATTTAATTTTCAAGGTGACATCTCACTGTGTTGTCCAGGCTTCATTTGAACTCCTAGGCTCAAGCGATTCTCCTGCCTCAGCCTCCCAAGTAGCTGGGACTCCAGGCACTTATTTTTTATTTTGAAAGTGTTTTTAAAGCAATTCAGAAAGTAATAAAATAGAAAAGGAAAGTCTTTGTCCCTCAGGATAACGTCTGTGCAGATGGTTCAAAACCTTTAGACTTTTCCTGTCCATCCCAGACAGAGCTGCAATCCTACACAGCGTAGTAACTTTGAGCATGGGCTCTAAAGCCATGTTTCAAGTGCTCAACGGCCACGTGTAGCTGGTGACAACACAGATGTAGACCATGTTCAGCAACATTTTCAGACTTATTTTTCTTGCATTATTTTCAAAAGAGTATAGTATGACAGTTATTTACGTAGCACTTACATTGTATTAGGTGTAATTGAGAGTTGATTAAAGTACACAGAGGATGTGCATACGTTATATGCAAACACTATGCTATTTTATATAAAGGGGGGCTGCTAGAACCAATCCCTCAAGGATACCGAGGAAGGACTTTGTACCAGCGTCTACCTACTTTCTTTCTTTCTTTTTTTTTTTTTTCATTTTTTTTAATTGTAGGAAAATACAAATATCACAAAATTTACCACTTCAACCATTTTACTTTTTTTTTGTGGGGTACATAGTGATGTTTTGATACTTATAATATGTAGTGATCAGATCAGGGTAATTAGGTTATCCATCATCTCAGACATTTATCATTTCTTTGTGTTGGGAATCTTCAGCGTCCTCCTCCTAGCTATTTGAGACTATATATTGTTAATTGTAGTCATCCTACAGTGGTGTAGAACACTCAACCTTATTCCTCCGAACCACTTCAGCCATTTTATTTGTTGATTGTTGTAGAGACAGGGTCTCCCTTTGTGGCCCAGGCTGGAATGCAGTGCAGTTATATCTCCAGATTTTTACTTACATACATATAAGCATATATTTTTTTTTCTTTTTCTTTTTTTTTTTTTTGAGACAGAGTCTCACTCTGTTGCCCTGGCTAGAGTGCAGCAGCGTCATCATAGCTCACTGCGGCCTCGAACTCCTGGGCTCAAACGATCTTTCCACCTCTGCCTCCTGAGTAGCGGGCATGTCACCACGCCCAGCTAATTATTTTTTTGCAGAAACAGGGTCTCACTGTGTTACCCAGGCTGGTGTCAAACTCCTGGCCTAAAGTGATCCTCCCGCCTCAGCCGCCCAGAGTGTTAGGATTACAGGCATGCGCCACCGCGCCTGGCATAGTTCAGCCATTTTCAAGTCAATAATTCAGCGGCATTAAGTACATCTGCAGTGTTGTACAACCATCACTAGTATCTAGTTCCAGAACATTTTCATCACCCCAAAATGAATGAATCAGTCCCTATTAGCAGTCCCTCCCCCAGCCTCTGACAACCAGTAATCTACTTTCTATCTCTATAGATTTGCTTGTCCTTGACATTCCGAATAAGCGGCCTATAGCATGTGGCCCTTTGTGTCTCGCTTCTTTCACTCAGCGTGATGTTGAGGTTCACCTGTAGTATGTGTTGGGACCCTCCTTCCTCTTAACAGCAGTGTGGATTCCATTGTATGGCCTTAGCACGACTTATCTAATCCAGTTACCAGTTTTCCTATCAGATTTTTGGTGTTCATTTTCATTGTTCGTAAGAGCTTTTTACATATGGCGGTTGGCCCTTTGTCTGCAACTGGAGATACTTTCTCCTGTTCTTCAGTAGGCTTTGGTGCTGGGACCTGGGAGTTTTCTCCTAGGCCCTGTTTTAGGAAGTGAATTCACTCATCTCGTCTCTGCCTGCCTCTCTGTTGTTTTGTGCTGCAACAAGAGCATCGTCTCCTGTGGGTCTGGGCAAACTCGGGCCCGCTTTTCCTTGGGATGGGTTCTCAGTGTGGAGTTGTTGACTCAGAGGCTAGCACTGTGTTTGACCCAGATTCTTATATGGTGGCAGGGCAGATCTGGGGGTCTGCAGGCAGACAGCCTGGCTTGGGTCCCTGGCTGTCCCCCTCACTGGCTGGGTGACTCTGGGTAGTTCCTTTGACCCGCCAGAGCCTCAGGGACCCCTCAGGCCCTCCTCTGTGAGGGACGGTGTCAGCTGGGTCTTTGGGGTCATTGAGGGATCTCCTGGGGTAACCCAAGGCTCTGCAGAGGAAACACCAGCTGTTATTATTATCCTGTTTGTAGAGGACCAAGTTGAAGCCTGGTATACAGTAGGAGCTTAGTCATTGGAGCTGCCGTTGTGGCTGCTTTCCCCTCCGCCCAGGCTAGGTGATGAGGTGGGCAGAGGAGGGACCGTCTGCACACAGCAGGAGCCCTGTGGGGTACTGGGGGAGGGGGGAGGGTAGGTGTGGAGGTGGCGGGAGCCAGTGGGCAGGGCCCAGGGTGACGGAGCTGGCCCCTCCACAGAGCAGCTGGCCGCCTCCAGGGCCCAGAGGGAGCGGGAGCTGGCAGCTGATGCCTTCCAGGAGCTGGATGACGACATGGACGGGGCGTGAGTGTCCCTGAGCTGGAGCTGCCTGCCCTGCCCTGGTTCCGGGGTCCACTCCCCCATCCCCACCTTTAGAAGCCAGCCAGAGCCTAGCTGGGTCCCCCTCATGGGGTCCAGGCTTACGCGGAGCCTGTCCGATCAGGCCTCGGGTACCCACGCACGAGGTGGGTCCAGAACACTCTGGGTGAGGAGAGGAGGAAACCCGCCTCCCTGGGAGCCAGGCGATGCCCCAGGCCAAGGGACTGTGGCTCGGGGCCCAGGGATTAATTACTTTTCCTCGGACCCTGTGGCCTGGTCTGTTTTGGCCAAAGCCGGCTCCCGGCTGGAATCCCAGCTGTGCCCTGAACTTGCTACGTCCCCTGGTAGAGGGTGGGCTGTCGGGGTCGTGGGGGATTCAGGGGGCTTCTAAGGGACCAAGGGGGCAGAACAAATAGGGGCCGTTCCCTGGTTGGTGCTTGGGGGCAGGGACTGCCCCTCCTGGGGCTGTGGGGCCAGATTGGGGCCCCAACTCCAGACCTCTCGGCTGCTCTGCCTGTGCCCCGCAGGGTGTCCGTGGCCGAGCTGCAGACCCACCCGGAACTGGACACAGATGGGGACGGAGCGGTCTCTGAAGCAGAAGCCCAGGTACCCCAGCTGCTGCCTGGCCTGGGACTTCTAGGGAGCATTGCCCCAGGGTGACCTCAGGGCAAGGGAGGGGCCAGCGGCCCTGGGCTGCCCCCTCAGAGCACTGCCTGGGGTGCCTCCCTGGTGAGGCTGGTGGCAGCCTCCCAGGGCTGCTTCACCACCCCCACCCCCCGTCCCCCGCCGGGGTGGGACCCAGGCTGGAGCCAGGTCAGCCTGTTTCCCACGCCTGCCCCGTGCCCCTGGCTCCCCCAAGTGTGCACCCCACTCCTCTCCCTCGGGGGGCCTGGCACTCGCTGGTCCTGCGCTGTCTCTCTCATCCATCTGTCCCTCTCTCTGTCTCAGTTTCTCCCCACGGGTCTCTCCACCCTGGGCCCCCTCCCGTCTCCTGTCACAGGCCTGTGCTGCCCCCTCCCGGTGGGTGGCAGCGCCTCATCCACCCCCGACCAGGGCAGGAGGGCGCAGGGCCCAGCCCGCCCGTGCCTGGCACCGCAGCCCGAGTGCCTGGGGCAGGCCGGGGGTGGGGGGCACGTAGAGGCCGCAATCCCGACACCACCCCCGTGGCACACAGGCCCTCCTCGGCGGGGACGCACAGACGGATGCTGCCTCCTTCCACGACCGCGTCTGGGCCGCCATAAGGGACAAGTACAGGTCTGAGGTCAGTGGGGGGACAAGGGAGGGGACACACCGCGGTCCTGCCCTGCCCCGCCCCCACTGCCTTACAAAGGAGCTGCCTCCCGCTCTGGCGCTGGGCCACTCTGGCCAGCTGGGCACCCAGCACCCTCCGCGGTGGCCCCCACCCCTGCTGGCTACGCCTCCCCGCAGGTCCCTCACGAGGGGCAGGGACCCGGGCGAGGAGCAGGTGGGACAGATCCCTGAACCCACGGCATCGGCGGCTCCGCTCACCCGCCAGGCGCTGCCTGATGACCTGCCCGCGCCCTCTGCCCCCGACGTGACGGAGGCCAAGGAGGAGCAGCCCCCGGTGCCCTCACCGCCCACAGAGGAGGAGGAAGAGGAGGAGGAGGCAGCTGAGGATGAGGTGGAGGAGGAGGAGGAAGAAGATGAATCTGAGGTGCTGGGGGAGCAGCCCAAGGTGTGTGTCTGGGGGAGGAGGGGGTGGGGTGGGGGTGGAGCTGTCTGCTGACTCCGCCCTTCCCCAGGAGGCCCCGCCCCCGCTCGCGCCCCCCCAGCCTGCCAGCCCCTCCGAGGAGGACAAGATGCCGCCCTACGACGAGCAGACGCAGGCCTTCATCGATGGTGAGTGTGGCCTGGGCGGGGAGGGCCAGCATGTCCTGCCGTGGTGGCATCTCTGTGCAGTCGGGGAGAATCAGTGTCCCTGATCTGCCTCTGCCATGGGCTTGGCTGGCTCTGAGTGAGCCTGGGTGTCTTGGGAGGCCTGGAGGGGGCGCCTGGAGCAAGCCAGTCCCCCCCCTCGGGCCCCAGGGACCCTCCAACCTCCCCAGGGGCTGCAGCTTGTTTGTGACACCTCTGGTAGGCCAGGAGCCAGCCGGGCCCTGGGAACCTGGGCAGCGGGTGGGGCCGCCCTGTGGCTGGTGAGGCCCCCGAGGCCTTCCCGGGCCCAGTCCTTGCCCAGAGCAGGCCCAGGGCCCGGGGCATGCAGGCGCAGCCACAGCACCCCCTTGCCATCTTCCTGCATGGGTACCGGGACACCTCTGACCTCCCCTGCACTGCCCCAGCCGCCCAGGAGGCCCGAAACAAGTTCGAGGAGGCCGAGCGGTCCTTGAAGGACATGGAGGAGTCCATCAGGTACCGCGGCCCCACGCACGGCGGTGTCCTCTGCCCCCAGGACCCGCCCCAGGAGCTGAGATGGGAGTCGCCTGGGCAACCAGGGTCTGGGCAGGCCTGGCTCCTACAGGGAGGGTCCCCAGAGGCCCTCCACTCCTCTGCGCAGCCCTCCCGTGTCGGGCTCGGGTGTCCTCGGCTGCCCCTGAACCCCTCGGCCTGTCCTTCCAGGAACCTCGAGCAGGAGATTTCCTTTGACTTTGGCCCCAGCGGGGAGTTCGCCTACCTGTACAGCCAGTGCTACGAGCTCAGCACCAACGAGTACGTCCCCCCCGCAGGGCGGGCGGCAGGTGGCCCTGGAGGTGGAGGTGGGGCCGGCGGGGCAGGCCTGGGGCCAGCTGGAGTTTGAGGCACCCCAGATGTGGCGCCGTCGAGGACGCAGGGAGAGGTGTGGGAGGAGGCTGGGGTCCTCGTGTCCCCTCCACCACCAGCCCCGCGCCTCCGCAGGTACGTCTACCGGCTCTGCCCCTTCAAGCTCGTCTCGCAGAAACCTAAGCTCGGCGGCTCCCCCACCAACCTCGGGTGAGTGGGCTTGGGCCGGGCTCCGTCCCCTGTCCCCCGGCGCCCTGTGGCTGGCTGGCGCTCAGCACCCCCCGCCCCCTCTCCCACAGCACCTGGGGCTCCTGGGCTGGCCCCGACCATGACAAGTTCAGTGCCATGAAGTACGAGCAGGGCACGGGCTGCTGGCAGGGCCCCAACCGCTCCACCACCGTGAGTGCCTGCCGGGCTGGGGGCGGGGGGACCCAGGACCGGTGAGCCCGCCCGAGCGCCCGCCTGCCCCGTTCCAGGTGCGCCTCCTGTGCGGGAAGGAGACGATGGTGATCAGCACCACGGAGCCCAGTCGCTGCGAGTACCTCATGGAGCTGATGACACCAGCCGCCTGCCCAGAGCCACCACCCGAACCGCCCGCCGACGGTGACCACGATGAGCTCTAGCCGGCCAGGCATAGAGGTGGGCAGGGAGGTGGGGTCCCAGCCTGCCGCACTTTGGGTGGGCGGCAGGGTCTGAGGAAGATGGACCTACGTCACCGCCCCCCAGACCCGTGTCTCTGTGTCCCCAGCTTTCTACTGGGGTCTTTCTCCCACCCCAGAACTTCAAGAAGGCCTGGAGCCAGCCCTCCGCAGTGCCGCCCACCTGCCCCCATGTCTGTGGATGGCAGGCCCCATGTCTCTGGGCCTCCTGCCCCCCACCCAGTGGGGGTAGGACCTGCGTGGGGCTTCCAGTCCTGCTCTGGGGGCCCCGGCAGCCTCCAAAGATGGGATGAAGGAGCTCGCCCTCCCTGGGCCCCCACCCTGGTGGCCACATCCCCTCTCCACCCCTCCCCACTGTGGGGACAAGTGACTTGACCTGTGACCTCAAACCAATAAATGTGACCCCCCACCCAAACTCTGCTGTGTCTGTCTCACTTTGCTGGGTGGGAACCGAGGCAGGGGTGGGCAGAGGGTGAATTTGAACTCCCCTCCCCCTGGGCCAGTGTCCCACCCTGCCCACGTCTCACCTGTGCTGGGGGAGGCAGAGCCTCTGCTGCAGATGAGACCCAGGCCCAGAGAGGGACAGCGGCCTGGGTGCAGTCACAGCCAGGATGGCGCACACACCTGGACGCTCCCCCCACGCCCGCGCACAGATAACCACCCACAGCCGTAAGATTCTGAACTTTTATTTTCTGGCATGAAAAGTACAAATAATTAAACAATTCCATGTAAAAGTCTGTTACCGCGGCCAGGCCTGTAATCCCGGTAATAAATAGTCTAAACGCAACGCGAAGTGTTCTTGGTGTCGGGTCGTGTGTTTCTCTTTTTTTTTGTCTTTTTTTTTTTTTTTTTTAAACAGTTCTTTATCAACTCCAACAGGTACTCTGTCGTGATTTGAACCCTTCTCACTAAATAACAGGATGAAGGGGAGGGCTGGAGGGGCTGTGCCCCCTCCCCACTGGCCCTGCCTCTG